CCTGTTCACAGGTGCCAGATGTTGGTTGACTCCATGCAACACAGATGTACAGCAGTTCTCAGAAACAGTGGTTATACAACTAAATTATTAATTGATTCAAAGGAAAGCAAAATCTTCAAAACATTTTTCAGTTTATATAGTGAATGTTTTAGATTGTAAAGGAGAATACAAACACTGCTATTTTTTGAACAGTCTAATTTTTTCGCTTTTCTTAAATTTTTTTTAGAGGAACAACACAAATTTGATATATATTTTTCTTCATGTTTTGATTTGGAATAGGATGTGTAGTGTTCCCAATGCATTTGTGTGTATGGAAATAAAAGCTATTAGAAGGATTTTGAGTTTTATTCACTTTTTTCAACACACTGCTATTATTTTAAACACAACTGTACATGATCACCAAGCTTAACAAATCATCCTGCTACCATGAGTTGCTATCTGCTGTAGCACAGTGGAAAAAGTTGTGGAAAAGGATGCAGTCTGCCCCAGCGGATGCACATCCAAAGTCAAAACACAACAAATTAGGGACATGAACGCAATTGTGCCTGTATGTGTGGCCTGACCCCAGGAAATGGACAGTTGTCATTCATACAGGTTTGTGACAAGTTAGTAAACTTTGGCACACAGGTTTGTGACAAATTAGTAAACTTCTTAGATGTTTTTTAGGTTGCTAATGTAAAAATTCTGTTATTCTTTCTGTAGAGCAAGATAGTGAAGAGGAGGGCCACCGTAAGTGCCTTGAATGTGATTGCCTGTTCTCTGTGTGCATTATGGAACTTTAATGTCTGCAATGTGTTTGTTGTGTTCTTGTTGTTTTGTGTAGCACCAGCCATGTTGTCTGTGGAGGAGGAGCACAAGGAGGAGGGTATGTCCTCTTAGGCCCACTGTAAGTGCATTAAATGTGCTTGCCTGTTCTCTGTGTTCCTTGTTGTCCTTGGCTCTCTCAAAGGGGTTGGTGTTATTCTTTCTTGTTGTCTGTGTAGTACCAGCCATGTTGCCGGAGGAGAGGAACACCATCCACCTCCACAGTCACCACCCCACAGTCACCTCCCCACCAGGAGGCCTCCTCACCTCCAGCTCACTGTAAGTGCCTTGGATGTGCTTGCTTGTCCTGTGTGCATTATGGAACTTTGATGTCTACAATGTGTTTGTTGTGTTTCTTTCTTGTTGTGTAGCTCCAGCCATATTGAAAGAGGGTGAGCTGGAAGAAGAGGAGAGGGATGTCTTTTCTCAACATCACGCCCACTGTAAGTACCTTCAATGTGTTTGGGATATTGGTCTCTGTAGGTGACATCAAGGTTGAGGTGTAGGATTTGGTGACTGAGCAGAGCTGCTCCCATCATGGACAGTGTTAGACTTTCCATTGCTGCTCATCTTTTTTTTTTTTTCCTTCCGCCTTATGTGGAAGAGGCAAAAGTCACATTCTTCACATGTCAACACAGTCATTACTGCTGTGTGATTGCCTGTCTGCCTTTGTGTTCCTAGATTCTGGCAATTGGAGGTGTGGGCAGCATTTAGGGCTGGTACAATATCCTGTTTTTTAGTCCTCATGGCTATCTCAGCTGCAAGTAACTATCTTTGCCAAAAGCAGACATGCTGGTTGTACACAAGACAAATCATCATTTTGCCTTCGGTACAATCATGCTGACCATAGCTGTAGTATAATTTGGCTGATTAATATTGGCCGGACTGTAGTTTCTTATCTAAGTCGGCCTTGTTTTTGTTTGCACTACTGCGACTTACCTATGTGGTTGAAGCATTGGTCCATTACTTCATCTGTCCCTCTTAGGTTGTAACGGTGCTAACTCTGCAATCACATGTTTGCTGTCAGCTCAACCCCCCCCCCCCTCCCAGCACTCACTGGGCTGTGGAGGGGGAGGCAGCGGCAAGCTCAAACTCTTTGTTATTCGTGGCTAGGCTGAGCCAGTTGCTGCTCCAGAGTCTGCAGTCTATCACAACTTTAAAGTCGGGATCTTGACCCAGTCTGGCCATGCTGTGTGACTTCAGTGGACTTCATGCAGCTGTCCCCTGAAAATTTTTCGCAGGAGTGCCAAATGAACTACACTTCTGTAATCCACAGAAGAGAGAGAGCCAAAAACTCTTTGGCTGGACTTCCCTTTTAATATATGTATGTCAGGCTTAACGTTTTACTAAACCGCGAACCCCACATTCACTCTATCTGGGCTCCCCGGACCCTGCATTCACTATATCCGCTCTCCCTGGACCCTGAATTCACTCTATCTGGTCTCCCATAGTAAACAGAACATGGCAATGCAAGTATTGTAGGCCATAAAAACCACTAAATACCTTTTCTCATCAGTAGTTAGAGCAGTCTTGTGACTTCAGCAGAGCACTGTTTAAATTTTGTTTTGAGGTTTTTTCTTTCTCCTCTAGGAGGATGTGAATCTTCTGTCTGAACAGTGCTGATTGGCCCTGTGCTGATTACATGCACCCTCCCAAAACCAACACCCAAAAAGTATAGCAATGCACACCAAACTGAGCATGTGCATGTGACTATGGATTCAGTCTGTATCAGGTAGTCATTTCAACAAAAGGAGGGGCAGAGAAGACAGGATCAAACAGCACAAGACAGAGTATTAAGCCCTTAGGTTACACAGTGAGTATAACAAGGATGCTTTACTGCATATCTAGACTGCTTTGACTGTTGTGGGTTTAGTAATAATTTAAGTACTATTGCTTGCTTCCTCATCACACATGCTCAAGCAGTTTTTGGAATACAGCTTCCAATGTGGATCCTAGTGTAGTGGCTAGGCAGTTATTAGCTCAATAGGTGTAGGCCTGTACGCATCCATACCTTTCTGAGACCAAGTTCTGCTCTCTAGCACAGCATGGAATGATAATTGGCAGCAGGACAGTATTTTTGGGGCCTGAAGAGGATGCCAAGCAGTGGGCCTTCATGCTGCGAATGCATGAAGGCAAGAAACTTCTGCCTTTGGGCCAAATTTCCAATGACCTACGAACACAGGATATATGCTCCCAAAATACACTAGCAGAGGGGTGGGAGAGCCCATCTCTGAGGATCTTCTCAGCTCTTAGTGTTTGGCAAGTGTTCCGAGTTGTGTGTCTTTTAATATCCAATGGTTAAGGCCTTTCTCTTGTGTTAACCTTTGAAAAGGGTACAGCTAAGGGCATAGTGGCTGTTAACACCACAACCCCTTAAAATATCCAACATAAAGATTGGACTTTGTTCATTTTCCTGAGCACACCCTCTTCTATTTGGATGTTCAGGAGCCAGAATTTCACATGTTCGACTTTCTTTAAATTCCGTGGCTCCCTAGGGTCATACGCTATCCAAACTTATCTGGAGTTGATCTACTCTGTCAGGGCTCCCGGGTATGACCAGAGGTGTGTGACTGACGCAGGGAAACGCAGACTTCAGATATGTTATAAACAATGTAATTTATTAACACTAACACTTATTAACACGGGCAGAGGCACATCGGGCTGGACTCCGGGCAGAGGCACATCGGGCTGGACTCCGGGCAGAGGCACATCGGGCTGGACTCCGGGCAGAGGCACATCGGGCTGGACTCCGGGCAGAGGCACATCGGGCTGGACTCCGGGCAGAGGCACATCGGGCTGGACTCCGGGCAGAGGCACATCGGGCTGGACTCCGGGCAGAGGCACATCGGGCTGGACTCCGGGCAGAGGCACATCGGGCTGGACTCCGGGCAGAGGCACATCGGGCTGGGCACTCCGGGCAGAGGCACATCGGGCTGGACTCCGGGCAGAGGCACATCGGGCTGGACTCCGGGCAGAGGCACATCGGGCTGGACTCCGGGCAGAGGCACATCGGGCTGGACTCCGGGCAGAGGCACATCGGGCTGGACTCCGGGCAGAGGCACATCGGGCTGGACTCCGGGCAGAGGCACATCGGGCTGGACTCCGGGCAGAGGCACATCGGGCTGGACTCCGGGCAGAGGCACATCGGGCTGGACTCCGGGCAGAGGCACATCGGGCTGGACTCCGGGCAGAGGCACATCGGGCTGGACTCCGGGCAGAGGCACATCGGGCTGGACTCCGGGCAGAGGCACATCGGGCTGGACTCCGGGCAGAGGCACACCGGGCTGGACTCGGGCAGAGGCACACCGGGCAGGACTCCGGGCAGAGGCACTCCGGGCAGAGGCACTCCGGGCAGAGGCACACCGGGCAGAGGCACACCGGGCAGAGGACACCGGGCAGAGGCACACCGGGCAGAGGCACACCGGGCAGAGGCACACCGGGCTGGACTCCGGGCAGAGGCACACCGGGCTGGACTCCGGGCAGAGGCACACCGGGCTGGACTCCGGGCAGAGGCACACCGGGCTGGACTCCGGGCAGAGGCACACCGGGCTGGACTCCGGGCAGAGGCACACCGGGCTGGACTCCGGGCAGAGGCACACCGGGCTGGACTCCGGGCAGAGGCACACCGGGCTGGACTCCGGGCAGAGGCACACCGGCTGGACTCCGGGCAGAGGCACACCGGGCTGGACTCCGGGCAGTTTCGGGCACACCGGGCTGGACTCCGGGCAGAGGCACCACCGGGCAGGGCCCCCAGGCGGGGCGTCGGGCCCCCAGGCGGAGCAACAGGTCTCAGGCCCCCAGGCGGGCGGCGGGCGCCGGGCCCCCAGGCGGGGCGTCGGGCCCCCAGGCGGAGCAACAGGTCTCGGGCCCCCAGGCGGAGCGACAGGTTTCGGGCCCCCAGGCGGGGCGGCGGGCGCCGGGCCCCCAGGCGGGGCGTCGGGCCCCCAGGCGGGGCATCGGGCCCCCAGGCGGAGCGACAGGTCTCGGGCCCCCAGGCGGAGCGACAGGTTTCGGGCCCCCAGGCGGGGCGGCGGGCGCCGGACCCCCAGGCGAAGCGGCGGGCACCGAGTCACCAGGCACGACCGTGGGCTCCGAGTCAACTGGCATGACCGCTGGCACTGGGTCAGACATTGGATCGTCTGGCTGGACAGCGGGCATCGGGTCACCAGGTCATTTGGCTCGACAGCGAGCACCGCGTCATCTGGCAAGGCAGTGGGCTCCGAGTCAACTGGCATGACCGTGGGCACTGGGGCAGACATTGAATCGTCTGGCTGGACAGCGGGCATCGGGTCACCAGGCATCAGGTCATTTGGCTCGACAGCGGGCACTGCGTCATCTGGCAAGGCAGTGGGCTCCGAGTCAACAGGCACGACAGTGGGCACCGGGTCAACAGGCATTGGATCGTCTGGCTCGACAGCGGGCATCGGGTCACCAGGTATGACAGCGGGCACTGGGTCACCAGGCATCAGGTCATTTGGCTTGCCAGCGGGCACCGCATCATCTGGCAAGGCAGTGGGCACCGGGTCACCAGGCATTGGATCGTCTGGCTCGACAGCGGGCTCGGGTCACCAGGTATGACAGCGGGCACTGGGTCACCAGGCATCAGGTCATTTGGATCAACCAGCGGGCACCGCGTCATCTGGCAAGGCAGTAGGGCACCGTCACCAGGTACGACAGCGGGCTCTGAGTCAATTGGCACCAGCGGGTCAGGTACCGGATCATCTGGATCAACAGCGGGCATCTGAGTCAACTGGCTAATAGGATCGTCAGGCTGGATCTTCACCATGCTGGTAGAGGCATCAGGCTGAATGCCGGCGTTCCGGCCGAGTAGAGGCTTCAGGCCGAGTAGAGGCTTCAGGCCGAGTAGAGGCTTCAGGCCGAGTACAGGCTTCAGGCCACGTACAGGCATCAGGCCACGTACAGGCATCAGGCCACGTACAGGCATCAGGCCACGTACAGGCATCAGGCCACGTACAGGCATCAGGCTGAACCACGGAAGGCAGGTTCACCGGTTTGGATACTGGCAGGATGGTATTGGTTGGAAAGAATTTTCGCTTTTTTCTGGTTTTAACTACTGGAGCACTGCAAGTAAACGCAGGTCTGCAAACGAATGGAGCAGCTGGAGACAGAGAAGAACTGGAGGATGGAACAGGAGAGGGAGCAGTTGCTACAGAGGGCTTTTTTACAGGGTTAAAGGCAGGATAGGTGCAGCGAGTGGGAACAGGGTACTGACATGCGGTAGATAGCAGGGCAGGAGGAGCTGTTGGGAATGCAGGAATAGAGTTTTGAGGAAATAGATTAGAAGCAGGACTGGGTTTTTGTAAGCTGACTGAGGCTGGGTGCAACAAGTCTGTCCATGTCTGCAGTATGGGTTGAACAAAGCTGAGCTTACACAAAGCCTGTCTGACCAAAGACTGCACTGCGTTTATACAATCTCTTAGTGTCTGTGGTGAACATGTGGAATAACGCTCCAGAAAGTAACCCACATCATCCTCTAATAACCACACCAGGGACTCTACCTGGTCTGCACTAAATGGTGGCAAAAATTCATCCCTGCATTCGGGGGTACCAGATGAAACCAACTCAGCACAAACCTTAATCAAAGGCTGCACCTCAGAGAATTCTGTGCCCTGATCTACTAGAACATGAGCAAGCCGTATACATTCTAGCAGTTCATCCCGGGTATACTCCTTCAGAGTTTGATAAGCATACTCCCTGTCATCAAACACTAGCAGATATAAATACGCAACCTCATCAGATCCATCCTTCCCATCAACAAGCCAAGATGGCTTCCCTGTGCAGCCACTTCTGGTCAGGATTGGCCTTGGTGTAATGTCAGGGCTCCCAGGTATGACCAGAGGTGTGTGACTGACGCAGGGAAACGCAGACTTCAGATATGTTATAAATAGAGATGAGCGAATTATTCAAAAATTCGATTCGGCTGATTAGCCGAATTTGCGGGAGAAATTCAATGCGAATTTAACTTATTAAAAGGGTTTCTAGGCTTCAGAAAGCCTTTTATATTAGTGCAGAACACTGTACCTTTAATTTAAATGCCCTTGGAGTCTGCTGGGGAAGAGAAATAATACTGTCAGTCAGTATGACATGCAGATGAGTGCCGTCGATCTTAGAATCACCGCACACGAGGGCAGGGGTTTTTTTGGTGAGGAGGAGGAGGAGGAGGAGGAGGAGGAGAAGGAGGAGGAGGGAGGAGGAGGAGAAGGAGGAGGAGGAGGGAGGAGGAGAGGAGGAGAGAGGAGGAGGAGGAGAAGAGGAGGAGGAGGAGGAGGAGGAGGAGAGGAGAGGAGGAGGAGGAGGAGGAGGAGGAGGAGGAGGAGGAGGAGGAGGAGAGGAGGAGGAGGAGGAGGAGGAGGAGGAGGAGGAGGAGGAGGAGGAGGGAGGAGGAGGAGGAGGGAGGAGGAGGAGGAGGAGGAGGAGGAGGAGGAGGAGGAGGAGGAGGAGGAGGAGGGAGGAGGAGGGAGGGGAGGAGGAGGAGGAGGAGGGAGGAGGAGGAGGAGGAGGAGGGAGGAGGAGGAGGAGGAGGAGGAGGAGGGGGGGGAGGAGGAGGAGGAGGAGGAGGAGGAGGAGGAGGAGGAGGAGGGAGGAGGAGGAGGAGGAGGAGGAGGAGGAGGAGGGAGGAGGAATGAGGAGAATTCCAGTACAGAGGTAGCAGAGAGCTCCGCTATTTCTGACAGTTCTCTGACAGTTCCTTCACATTTACAGCGGTTGAAACATTGTATCTATTTATTTCCGAAACATCTGTATCCTAAATGGAAACAGATACAATGTTTCAACCGCTGTAAATGAACTGTCAGAACTGTCAGAGAACTGTCAGAAATAGCGGAGCTCTCTGCAGTGACACTTTTGCCGGCTGATCGGGGAAAATTCGATCCGTGCATCCGAAGTTTGCTAAAATTCGGAGTCGATGCGAATCGAATTTTTCCTAATATTCGAAACGAATTCCACTTCGCCAAGTTCGATTCGCTCATCTCTAGTTATAAACAATGTAATTTATTAACACTAACCATACAAACATAAACGCAGTGCAATACTAAAACATAACACAGTGCAAACAAACCAACCAACCACCCACAGATAACAGTACATACAATGCAAGCGTCGTCAGGCAGGCCGGGTCAATATCAGTCGGGCAGGTAGGTACAGGGGGAGCAAGCGGAGAATGGTCGGGGTCACAGGCCAGGTTCAGCAGGTAGCGGGCAGCGTGGTACAGAGGGTCAGGCAGAGGAGAATGGTCAGACAAGCCAGGGATCAGAGCAGGGTCAGCAGAGAATCAGACAGGAACAGAGAGCAGGTACAGGATACAGGGCCCAAGAGAAACACAACACCAAGGCAGAGTCTGCAGGTCTGAATGTCCCTTAAATACACCAGTATAATTAGTTCCAGGTGTTTGACTGGCTGCAAGGTTGAGTCTCTGATTGCTGGGAGCACCCGCTGGCCAGCCCTGGTACTGCAGCTCATAAGGCAGCTGAGTCCCACTATTGCTGGCCAGTCCATTCCTGACATACTCCTTGTGCTTCAAGTCTAAGAGAATTTAGGGCTTGTGTTCAACATTGTGTGTGTTTTGTAGTAAACTCTTAAATTTACAAAGCGCAGAATTATACGGACATGTAGAGCTCTTTTGCTTGTGTTTTTGTCAAGTTTCCTGGCACTCTGAAAGGGAGTGGATGGTCTCCAGAGCCCCAGGAGAGAGTGGATGGCTGAGGACTCCTTGGAGGAGGGGAACCGGTCCTCCAATTCCCCAGGGCCCAGTTGGGCCAAATATGTCCCATTTTTGTGTGAATTTTATCCACTTAACAATATTTGCTTTAGGACAGTGCGTGGGGAGTGTCACATTAGGTGTGTTGGGTAAAGGTTGGCACAAGACTTATTTGTTTTATTGCTTCACAATCTGCTCCAAATGCCACCTTGCAGTGTGCATGTGTTAACACTTGAGGGGGCATTTGTGTTTTTGCGTAGGGGAGGGGAATATTATATGGACTGAGCCCTTTGCAGCTAGACTGTCAAAGACATACCTTGTGACATCTTCCTGTGAAGCCTCAGATCTGCTGCCGACCTGTGGCTTCTGCTTTGAGATGCTTGAAGTCCACTATACTGTAGACCCCAAGAAGGAAAGTGGGAATGGCTGCAAGGGCTAGTCAATTAGTGTTTCTACTCTTACTGTAGTGTAAGCATAGCTAAGCGTGTGTGTCAGTTCCTCTTGGCTCTCCAACATCGGAATGCTGGCCCCACACCGCTGGCAAGGGAGACTGTTCTTTATCATGGCTGTCAACTGTGATATTTGGGTTACATCCTAAGGTGATATGAAACATTGTCAATGGACAGCCAGAGAGTATGTTAGCATTGTAGGATATGAGTAGCTTGCTGCAGTGTGGGTGCCAACAAGTGGCCAAATGAATTTGGCCTTAAGCTCTTCTGGTTCTGATCATCTAGTTTAGTAAGCCATCCCTCAAGGTCAGTTTCTAAACTGTTTACACATATGCACATGTAACGTATGTAGGAGGCTTCACCTCCCCCTTATCTAAATTTGTTGGCCTCATCCTGTGTTTAGGATGGCCCCCCAAAGAAATAAAAGATTCACACTAAACACCACATCAGTCAGATAGGGGCTTAATCTTCCCACTTTGTCCTGACAGTTTGTCTACATAGGCATACATTAAAGTGTTTTTCTATTTAAGAAAAGACCATAAGCAAAGAATATGACACAATAGTGGGCACTAACTGGACACTCGCGTGAGCAATAAAACCTGCTTCCCAAGTAACAAGTGTTTGTTCCACTCTGGTCTCTCCGCCATCTTAAAGAAACACTACAAATAGATGCAGCTGACACCTCAGCTTCCTGGGAGATGGACCACCTCCCTTCAAAGATACACCTGGTCAATCACACTGCCAGCTCTATAGGAATCTCTGTACCTGTGTGGAGGGAGTTGGGCCACTAGCCTCCAATAGGCTCACAGAGTTTGCTCAGCTCTGTGCTCTGGCTGTGTATAATGTGTGTAGGGATCCCCCCCATAGCTAATAGAAAGCTAGGATAGGTGTCTTTGGGAACGCTGTGGAGGAGATAGGTGTGCCAAAGTCATCTGTTGTCTTTACTGATGAGATTGCCCCTTTTCACTGTTGCCCACAGATATATTTGTAGTCAGTGAGCAAACACTAGAAGAAGCAATAGGGGTGGGGCCTGCAGAGGACCAGCCTGCCATTGTGGCATTTTTTTCAAAACAAATTTTTTTTTTATTTTGTTTTTTTATATTTTTATAAATAAATGTTATTTATATTTGACAGTACACTGTGTTGTGGCCTTCTTTAGCCTTTGCAGGTAGGCAATCTTCTTCATTGCAGTTGGAGCTGATCTGCATGTCCCTAAAGCATTGCAGTACTGTGCAAGCTCCAGCTGCAGAGGCCAATCTTGCTTAACTTGAATTTTTGGTAATGTCCAAACTAAGTCTTTTTTGGCAAGTTAAAGCGTTAGGACTGTAGCAGATAGGATTGCATGTTTACAAGAGGTAAACCAGCTTCTTCAATCCTAAGCTAGGATACATAAAGATTGAAGTTGCTTGCTGTCTACAGCTACTCCCAATCTTATTTTGCTTCCGCTTGTGAAATGCTTCAATAGTTTACACAGAACACTTCATTCACGTTACATTGTTTACGTTTGTAGCTCTTCATTCCATCCAGGGACTTCTACATAACTTGGTGGAGTTTAGTTGTGCAGACTGGCATAAGGGGGGGGGGGGGGGGGCTGTGCAACCAAGTAGATAATGTGTGGGTGGATCCTGTGGCCCAACTCTGTCAAGATGTTTCTTATCACCTCATCCCTAATTGGGATTGGCATTACACAGAAGCCACATGACTTGAAAGCCGCTCTTGGAAGGACTATCTGTTATGGAAGAGACCACTTACATGCAATGTCCCGCAGAAAAGGAGGGTCCCTAATGGGCAAATTGACTTTCTGCTCACCACATATCACTTGTATCCAACTTGTTTTTCTTTCACATGTCAGTGTTTTGTCAACAGGAGGAGGGGAGGGAATGAAGTGAGGAACAAGATTCCACAGGGCACATAAATTCCATTAGGCACCCACATCTAGAATCGGGCAGCTAAAGATCCTATGCTCCCCAACCATTTTCAGGGCAAGATGTTACACGGTGTGTAAAGCAAACTTAGTCTGGGTCAAGTTAGTCAAGCATAATGGTAGTCCAAACAACAGAAGTCCTTTTTCTTATTCTCACAACTTTTGTGTCTCTAGCATTCCTTGGCAGGCTTAATGTTTGTAAGTTGTGGCCTGGTTTCGCACCTGGTGCCCTGGCTATTTACACACTTCTTTTATAGTGTGTGTCAATGAAGTAGTACAAGGAACATATTTGGACAGCAGTGTCAGTCTCTGGTGAGGCGAGTGTTCACTGCACGTGTCTTGTTCAAAATCAGCATCCCAAAAGACCAAAGCTAGCAAACACTTTGAAAACAAGCTGCAATTTTGTGTTTTCCCATATTTGGGAAAGTTACTCTTGCCCACAGAGTCCACTGATAATTCTAAGCTCCATTAGGACAGCCAAATTGATAGCAGATAATGGACAACTGCTACATGTTCAAGAGAACTTGATTGATGTGAAACAGCTAGAACTATCTGCAGGACAGACCACCAGGTGAAAACAGCAGAAAGGCCAAAGAGTAAAACCACCAATGCTTTTGGAAATGTGAACTTTACATTTTATTTAGGAAGTGCTGCTTTTTTAGTGTTCACTATTTTGAATTACTGGTAGCAATACTCAAAAAAGCACCCGTGTTGGATTCCCTACATGACCAACTCACCATTATTACCCCAAACACATTTGACAATTTGCAAGACATGTTCAGCCACTTTCCAAATTAGGTTTATGAACATCAAAAACAACCAAACATAATATAACAGCAAATAATTAATGGGAGGAGGAGGCGGTTGCTTGGGGGGGGGGGGGGGGGGTAGTACTGTGTGTGGAGGGGCGAAGGAAAGGTGGGGATGGACGGTAGGGAGGATGTGGGGAGGGGCTGGGAAAGAGTGATAGGGAGGGAGTGCTGGAGTAGGGGGTTGGGGGTGAACATGTGGTGAAGGAAAGGTGGGAACATAAGACAGATGTGGGGAGCGGCATTTGAGCGCTGACGAGAGTGGGAAGGATGTGGAAGGTAAGGATGGAAACGGGATTGAGAGGAGGGGTGTGTAGAAAGAAGGGGAGGGGGTGTGAAAGTGGAAGTGTGGTCAAGGGGCAAAGTGGAGTGTGAGGAAGGCAGAAGTGGGATCCATGGGGAAGGAGGCATACTGGTGTTGGGGTGGGGTTTCTTGAGGGGGTTGCTCCAGAGTAGGTATTTCCTGAATCGGCAATTCACAGGCGAACGCTGTGGCACCCTTGGCATTGGCTCCAAACAACTACTGCACAGGGGTTGTGGGAGCCTCTGGCTGAAGGTGCATACATAAGGCCCGGATATCCTGCAGCACTGCAGTCTGCTCCCTGACCACGGTGACAAGTTCAAGCAGGGTTGCCTGTTGGAGCCCCAGTAAACTTTCTATATTACTTGGCGCATTAGCCTCCTTTGCTCCCATAATCTATCCATGTTGAACACCAGCCTTTCCCCAAGCTCGAGAAGGAGGCCGACTCTAGGTGGAAGGGGTGTCAATCCAGCTGCATCCAATGTTGGCTGCAAAGAGAAACAAAAAAAAAAAAATAAAATTAAAGAGTGTTTAACACACAGCACAAGCATACAGTAGGACAAGGGGCTCATCTGACACTAAATACTAGCTCATGTTCTTGTCCCGCCCCTAGAACCAGGTATTGGTGAATGCCTTTCCCTGACACATTACACTGGATGAGCATTTGACTGAAATGAATGATTTTGCATCTTTACCCAGAATGATACCTTCCTGCTCTGAAATGTGATTTGGATTTAGACAAAATGAAACGCTAAAATGCTGATTTGTCACATGCACATCACTCCCTCCAGCTCCTGACTAAGCAGTGATCCAAAAAAAGTAAGGTACACATCACGTTGCCAAATCCTGCCCAGCCAGGAATGGCATTATGCTCTAAATGGGTGACTCATTAGGGATAACATCTTTAGCATCTCTTGCCGGAGGTTCAGGCAACTCAGGTGTAGGTGACGGCCTTTGATGTAAATTTGGAGTGCCTGAACTTCCCTGCACCACAAAACAAAAAAAAAAACAATGCATTACATTTCCCAAATACACATGCAACATGCATATGTACATCCCCACCCCATTACAGCAGTTCCCACACACCCCCAACATCAGATGCAGATTCTTCTCCCACTCCAACAGCTGGGGCATCCAGGGCCAAAAGATAATCTGCAAATACCGTAGTTTCCGGCGTATAAGACGACTTTTTATACTTAAGAACATACCCCACCAATTGGGGGTCCTCTTATACGCGGGGTATAGAATGTCAGCCCGCTGGATGTGCGGTAATACTGTACGGTAGCTTCGGATACATGCAGTATACCACGCTGAGCCAATCACGGCGAGCGGTGTATTCTATTAATGAATACAGAGCCTGCTCGGATTGGCTGAAGTTGTGACATCATCAGCCCGCCTCTGACGCAGACAATCCGAGCAGGCTTTGTATTCATTAATAGAATACATCACTTGCCATGATTGGCTTATATGACGTCCTCCCATTCTGAGCGCATGCGCAGCTCAGGGAGCGTCACAGCTGATCACATGTAAACATGGAAATGCCGCTTATCGGCATTTTTCTCCTCTCGAGCTGTCATGCTGACAGAGGAGAGGAGAGCCGGTAATCGGATTTCCGCAGAGGGGACATGTACACTGATCATCAGGGCACTGATGATCAGTGTGCCCTGATGATCAGTGTAGCCCAAGCAGTGCCACCTGTCAGTGTCCACCAGTGCCCATCAATGCCACATATCAGTGCCCATCTGAGCTGCCTTTCAGTGCCCGTCAGTGCCATTTATCAGTGCCATGTATCATTGCCATGTATGAATGCTGCCTTTCAGTGCCCATCAGTGATGCCTGTCAATGCCCATCAGTGCCACCTACCAGTGCCTCCTCATCAGTGCAGCCTATCAGTGCCCATCACTGCAGCCTCATTAGCGCACATCAGTGAAGGAGAAAAATCACTTATTTACAAAATTGTAGAACAAAAACTAAGAAAAAACGTTTTTTGTTTTTCAAAATTTTCAGGGGTTTTTGGTTTAAGAAAAAATAAAATAAAAACCCAGAGGTGATTAAATACCACCAAAATAAAGCGGTCACAAAAAAATGATAAAAATTTCATATGGGTACAGTGTTGCATGACCGCTCAATTGTCATTCAAAGTGTGACAGCGCTGAAAGCTGAAAATTGGCCTGGACAGGAAGTGGGTATAAGTGCCCTGTAGGCTTGTGGTTAAATGGTGTTGCCTCAGAAGGGGGGTAGTCTTATACGACGAGTATAGCCTTTGGGCTATGTTTTAACTGGAAAATTAGGGGGTCGTCTTATACACCCAGTCGCCTTATACGCCGGCAAATATGGTATTTTTCAAGATGATATTAGCAACAGATACTAGTTAGGCTGAATGTAGGATCTGACATTTTTGACCAAGGTTTGAGGGATTGCTCATTGGTATGTTTTTCACAACAGTTTATCCAGAGAATTAGGACACTGGCAGCCACAGCCCAGGAGACTGACTGGGCGTAGAAAGAGGCATGATAAGGCTCAGGAGCAGGGGCCACAAAAATTAGTGGCCACCTTTCCTGCCAAACAAGGAGGCAGATGTGTTAGGATGGCTACAATATGCCCATAAGCTACTGCAGCTTTTTTGACCATGGGCTTCAAACATTTAATCCAAAGATATAACATTTGTCGTTAAGGCAACATTCCAAAAAGGATTCAATGGCAAAAAAAAAAAAAAAAAATGGTCAAATCAAATATAAATGTGCCCTAAAATATTTAAACAGCCAAATGCATGTAAATGCATCCAAAAGAATTGTTGATATAACTGTTTATCTGAAGAGATCAAGAGCAATGCATCCAAAACTCCTTTAATCACTTTTAAACCGCAGGTCTCATGCAAACTCAATGTGAAAAAGAAAACCAGAGTTGGGCTTACCGGTAACTCCTTTTCTACGAGTCTTCCAGGACAGTCCCTTGAGACAGAGCTCCACCCTCCGGGTCAGGAAACACGCCACCCCCCACGCCTTTAAAAGGCAGACCTCCAGGCCTTCATCCCTAGTTTTACGCAGGAACTAGCAGAATACACTGAAAGACACAAATATTTAGGTAACCACATATACATCACTTGTACATCTTCAGGGTGGGAAATCACGGCTGTCCTGGAAGACTCGTAGAAAAGGAGTTACCAGTAAGCCTAACTCTGGTTTTCTCCCTGCGTCTTCTAGGACAGCCCCTTGAGACGATAATCAAGAACTTACCACTTAGGGTGGGCCCACTGCCTGGAGGACCTTGCGCCTGAATGCCTGCTCCTTACTTGACAAGGAGATCCAGGCAGTAATGCTTCACAAAGGTAGAGAACTTGGACCAGGTGGCTGCCTTACATATTTCCTCCGGCGAAGCCCCAGCCCTCTCTGTCCAGTATGCTGATAAGGATCTAGTCGAGTGAGCCTTAAAGGGGGGAGGAATCGCTAAAATCTTGTAAGATTCTATAATAGCTAATCTAATTTTTCTACCTATAGTGGATTTGGATGATGTGGAACCTTTCCTTGCACCTGCAAATAATACAAACAGGGAATCTGAACTTCTAAATTCCCGAGACCTATTGAGATAAATTATAAGACTCCTCCTTACGTCTAGCAAACTTAGTGTTCCTTCTTTCTTACCTTCAGGAGAAGAACAAAAGGTCGGTAGGACTATATCCTGAGACCTATGACAGGAGGAGGACACTTTAGGGAGGAAACCTGGATCTGTTTTGAGCACGACCTTGTCCTCAAAAACGGTCAGGTAGGGCTCCCTAATGGAAAGTGCTTGCAATTCACTTACCCTACGGGCTGACGTGATTGCTACAAAAAAAAAAAAAAAAAAAAAAAAAACATTTTTAAAGTCAAAAATTTAACAGAAGATTCTTCCAAGGGTTCAAAGCCTTCAGGACTAGGGATAGATCCCAAACTGGACAAGACCTGACCTTAATCGGTCTGGACTTGGAAAGGGACCTAAAAAAGTCATCCTGCTGCAAGAGGACCTGCAGAAAAAACTGAGGCCCAAGCCTGTACCTTTAAGGTGCTGATAGAGAGTCCCCGATCCGCCCCTTCCTGAAAAAAATCCAAAACTGCCAGAATGTCTGGGGGCCCCTGCCGCTTGCTTGATAACCAAGAATTGAACTTTTTTCAGACTTTCGCATAAATGGCCCTGGTTACCGGCTTGCGGCATTTAACCAGAGCCTTTACCACTGCGTCCGAAAACCCTCTGGCTTTTAGGAGCTGCTCTTCAAAAACCATGCCGTCAACTTCAAGGTCCTGATCTGCGGATGCCAAACAGGACCTTGAGAAATCAGATCTTCCCTCTCTGGGAGAGGAAATAGAGGAGCCAAGATAAGACTGTTTAGAAGGGAAAACCAGGGTCTTTTTGGCCAGAAGGGTGCTATTAATATTAGATCCGTCTTCTCCCCCACAAAGTTTTGCAGGACCGCCAGGATTAGTCTCACCGGAGGGGATGCATAAGCCAGGCTGCAGTCCCATGAATTCTTCAGGGCGTCTATCCCTAAAGCCTGCTCTCGTGGGTTCAGGGAAAAAAATTGACTGACCTTCCTGTTTTCCTGGGAAGCAAAGAGATCGGTCTCCGGAACCCCCAATTTGCGAACTATATCCAGAAAGACCTCCTGGTTGAGAGACCAATCATCGTAACTGATTGGCCGTGGACTCAGGAAGTCTGCATATTGCCTGCAATCCTCTGCAGAGAGGGGCTCCGTGTACCTCCCTGCTTGTTTATATAAGCCACCGCCGCTATATTGTCCGTCCGAATCTGCAAGTGACGGTTCATTAGGTTTGTTCCAAAGGCCTCCAATGCCCTTTGAACTGCCATCAGCTCCCTCTGATTCGAGGATATCCGAGACTCTCTTCGAGACCACAGCCCCTGGGCTGCCATGTCTCCTAGATGGGCTCCCCAACCATAACTGCTGGCATCTGTTGTAACAATGAGCGTAGCCAGCTGGTTCCACTCTAGTCCCTTGGTCAAATTTATTTAGTTCCGCCACCACCAGAGGGCCTTTTGACTCTGGACAGGAGCTGGACTGCTTGCTCTAATGTAGAGCTGTCTCTATCCCAAACCTTCAGCAGGAATGACTGAAGAGGCCTCTGGTAGAGCCTTGCCCACGGGACTGCTGGAAAACAAGAAGTCATAAGACCTACTGCTCTTGAGACCTCTCTTACTGATACCAACCGATTGCATTGCAATTCTGCCAGCTTCTGGTCCATCTTTAGGAATTTCTCCCGAAGAAGGAAAATCTTCCTCTCCAGCGACGAGATCTCGTATCCCAGGTAGACTACTCTCTGGGAGGGAGTTAACACTGATTTGTCCCTGTTCACAAGCCAACCTAGACTCTGAAGGAGGCCGAGCCACCTGCAGCTCCTCGGCCAATTGCTGGTAAGATTTGGCCACAAAGAGAAGGTCGTCTAAATAAGGTATAATGGTGATAGACCTCATCCTTAGGGGAACTAAGGCCTCTGCCAACACCTTGGTAAAAATTCGCAGTTCTGACACCAGTCCAAAGGGTAGGGCTTGACACTGCCAGTGGAGGACCTGAGAACCCATCTTTACCGCTATCCTTAGGTACTTTGGGCTTGCTTGATGAATGGGGATGTGAAAATACGCTTCCCTTAGATCTAGTGTGGCCATAAAAATTCTGAAAAAGGATATTCCTTACAGAATAAATTGATTCCATTCTGAAGTGTTTGTACTTCAGTGACTGATTTAGAGGACGCAGGTTCAAGATCAGGCGACATTTGCCCGAGGGTTTTCCCACAATAAATACGTGGGAAAAACAGCCCATACACTGTTCGTTCTGAGGGACCAGGACCTGCTGGTCCACCAAATCCCCAATTAGACCGCACAGAGCCTGAGCCTTGTTCCGGTCTTTGGGCAGATCGGTGACCAAGAATTTGTTTGGTGGATAGGAGTCGAATTCCAGCCTGTAACCCTTCTGTATTAGGTCTAAAATGTAGGGGTTCAGGGAGATTGACACCCACTGAGGGAGAAAGGTCCCCAATCTTCCCCCCACTGGGACACTTAAGTCATTGCGACTTGGAGGGGCCTTGAGGAGGATTGAATAGTATCCCCCCTTTTGCCCTATTCTTGTGCCCCGTCCAATGTTGCTTGGGCTGACCTTCTCTAACCTATGGTGCCTGTGATTTTGGATGAAAAATCTTCCTGGGAAATACCTTTTTTTACGCTCAGGGAAGGCTTTCTTTTTGTCGGACGTACGTTCTAAAGCTTCCTCCAAACCAGGCCCAAAAAGATTGTCCCCTGAGAAAGGCAAGGCGTAATTTAGACGCCGAGTCCCCTGCCCAGGTTTTTAACCATAAGGCACGCCTGGCCAAATTAACTAAGGCCGAAGATCTTGCAGCCAGCTTAACCGATTCCACCGAGGCATCTCCAAGGAATCCTACTGCCTTAAATAATAAAGGCAGAGATTTCAGAATCTGCTGCCTTGACGTTCCCGCCGCCAGATGGTTCTGCAACTGGGTAAGCCAGCACTCTAGAATTCTGGCTACACAAGTAGCCGATAGGGCCGGTTTAAGACTAACTGATGAGGATTCCCATGCCCTACGCAGCAAGACTTCTCCCCTTTTATCCATGGGGTCCTTTAGAGCCTCTATGTCCTCAAAATCCAAATCCATCCTTTTAGAAACTCTGGATAAGGGGGCGTCCAGTCTTGGAACTTTGTTCCAAGGCTGGGACGCATCCTTATCAAAAGGAAATATTCTCTTTAAACTTGCATGAAAAGAAGGGTTTCCTCTCTGGTTTTTCCCACTCCTGCTTAATGGTGTCAACCAAAGAGCTGTGGACTGGAAAGACCCTGCTCTTTTTAGCATGAAACCCCTGATACACGAGATCATGCTTGGAT